AAAAAAACCAGGAATGTGAGTTGGGATGGGGAAAAACCTCTGGAATTCCTGGAATTCCCAACCCCATCCTGGTTTTCTCAGGGGGATTTCAAAGGTCCCTTCCCACCAAGAGAATTCCCAGCTCAAATCCAGGAATTCCTCCTCCCTGAGGAGGAAAAAAAAACCTGGGAATGTTGGGTTGGGATGGGGGGAAAAACCTCTGGAATTCCTGGAATTCCTGGGATTCCCAACCCCCCTCAATCCTGCTTTTCTTGGGATGAAAATGGGATGATCCCAAAGGTCCCTTCCCAACCCAGAGAATTCCCAGCTCAGATCCAGGAATTCCTCCTCCCTGAGGGGGAAAAAAAACCGGGAATGTGAATTGGGATGGGGAAAAAACCTCTGGAATTCCTGGAATTCCCAACCCCATCCTGCTTTTCTCAGGGGGATTTCAAAATCCTTTCCCACCCAGAGAATTCCCAGCTCAGATCCAGGAATTCCTCCTCCCTGAGGAGGAAAAAAAACCAGGAATGTTGGGTTGGGATTGAGGAAAAAACCTCTGGAATTCCTGGAATTCCCAACCCCCCTCAATCCTGTTTTTCTTGGGATAAAAAATGGGATGATCCCAAAGGTCCCTTCCCAACCCAGAGCATTCCCAGAGAATTCCCAGCTCAGATCCAGGAATTCCTCCTCCCTTTTGGTGGGAAAACCCCCCAGGAATTTGGATTGGGATTGAGGAAAAAACCTCTGGAATTCCTGGAATTCCCAACCCCATCCCGGTTTTCCCAGGGGGATCCCAAAGGTCCCTTCCCGAGCTCCCAGAGAATTCCAAACTCAAATCCACAAATTCCTCCTCCCTGAGGAGGAAAAAAAACCAGGAATGTGAATTGGGATGTGAGAAAAAACCTCTGGAATTCCTGGAATTCCTGGGATTCCCAACCCCCCTCAATCCTGCTTTTCTTGGGATAAAAATGGGATGATCCCAAAGGTCCCTTCCCAACCCAGAGCATTCCCAGAGAATTCCAGACATTCCAGAGAATTCAGCTCAGATCCAGGAATTCCTCCTCCCTTGAGGAGGAAAAACACCCAGGAATTTGGATTGGGATTGAGGAAAAACCTCTGGAATTCCTGGAATTCCCAACCCCCCCCTCAATCCTGGTTTTCTCAGGGGGATTTCAAAGGTCCCTTCCCACCCAGAGAATTCCCAGCTCAGATCCAGGAATTCCTCCTCCCTCAGGAGGAAAAAAAACCAGGAATGTGAATTGGGATTGAGAAAAAACCTCTGGAATTCCTGGAATTCCCAACCCCATCCTGGTTTTCTCAGGGGGATTTCAAAATCCCTTCCCTCCCAGAGCATTCCCAGAGAATTCCAAGCTCAAATCCAGGAATTCCTCCTCCCTGAGGAGGAGAAAAAACCAGGAATGTTGGGTTGGGATGGGGGAAAAAACCTCTGGAATTCCTGGAATTCCCAACCCCATCCTGGTTTTCTCAGGGGGATCCCAAAGGTCCCTTCCCAACCCAGAGCATTCCCAGAGAATTCCCAGCTCAGATCCAGGAATTCCTCCTCCCTTTTGGTGGGAAAACACCCCAGGAATGCTCTGGAATTCCCAAATTCCCACCCAAATTCCAGCCCAAATCCCTTCCCAGCCAAGGATTCCTTCCCAAAAATTCCAAGGGCTGGGAATTCCAGCCCAAATCCCTTCCCAGCCAAGGATTTCTTCCCAAAATTCCAAGGGCAGGGAATTCCAGCCCAAATCCCTTCCCAGCCAAGGATTCCTTCCCAAAAATTCCCCTCAATCCCATTTTTCCAGTGGGAATCCATTCCCTGTGTCCCATCCCAAATCCATCCCTCCTGGAGCCCCTGGAATGTTCTGGAAGATTCTCCCTTGGGATCCCTCCCTGCTCCAGGGGAACATTCCCAGCTCTCCCCAGCAAAATCTGGGAATCCTGGAATTCTTAGAAAGGGATTTTCAGGATCATCCCATTCCCACAAAATTCCAAAGGCAGGGACACTTCCCATGGATCCAACCTGGCCTTGGATGCTTCCAGGGATGGGAATTCCAGAGTTTTCTCTGGGAATTCCAAAGGCAGGGAAACTTCCCATGGATCAGGTGGCTCCAACCCGGCCTTGGACACTTCCAGGGATGGGACATTCCCAGTTTTCTCTGGGAATTCCAGCCCAGTCCCTCCCAGCCAAGGATTCCTTCCCAAATTCCAGCTACGTCCTCTCCTGATTTGTCCTGAATTCCACCTGAATTCCACCCAAATCCCTCTGAATTCCACCCAAAATCCCAAATTCCACCCAAATTGTCCTGAATTCCACCTGAATTGTCTTGAATTCCACCCAAATCCCCCTGAATTCCACCCAAAATCCCTTGAATTCCACCCAAATTCCCAAATTCCACCCAAATCCCACCCAAATCCCCCTGAATCCCACCCAAATCCCCCTGAATTCCACCCAAATCCCCCTGAATCCCACCCAAATCCCTCCTGAATCCCACCCAAATCCCCCTGAATTCCACCCAAATCCCCTGAATTCCACCCAAATCCCCCTGAATCCCACCCAAATCCCCCTGAATCCCACCCAAATCCCCCTGAATCCCACCCAAATCCCCCTGAATCCCACCCAAATCCCCCTGAATTCCACCCAAATTCCCAAATTCCACCCAAATCCTCCTGAATTCCACCCAAATCCCCCTGAATTCCACCCAAATCCCCCTGAATTCCACCCAAATTCCCAAATTCCACCCAAATCCTCCTGAATTCCACCCAAAATCCCTTGAATTCCACCCAAAATCCCTCAAATTCCACCCAAATCCCCCTGAATCCCACCCAAAATCCCTTGAATTCCACCCAAAATCCCTTGAATTCCACCCAAATCCTCCTGAATTCCACCCAAATCCTCCTGAATTCCACCCAAATCCCCCTGAATTCCACCCAAATTCCACCCAAATCCCACCCAAATCCCCCTGAATTCCACCCAAATCCCCCTGAATCCCACCCAAATCCTCCTGAATCCCACCCAAATCCCCTGAATTCCACCCAAATCCCCCTGAATCCCACCCAAATCCCCCTGAATCCCACCCAAAATCCCTTGAATTCCACCCAAATCCCACCCAAAATCCCTTGAATTCCACCCAAATCCCACCCAAATCCCCCTGAATTCCACTCAAATCCCACCCAAAATCCCTCAAATTCCACCCAAATCCCCCTTTTTTTTTCCCATTTATTTTTCCAACCCCCCCCTTCAGACTATCCTGGTCTCTTTGTTTCCAAATGAATTTTTTTGGGAATTCTGGGTCACTCCGGGCTCCTTTGGGTGGGAAAAGCCCCTCAAATAAATCCTGCCCTTCCCAGCTGGAATTTGGGATCACTGAGGGTTTTTTGGGAATTCTGGGTCCCACCTGGGGTCTCTCCGGGCTCCTTTGGGTGGGAAAAGCCCCTCAAATTCCCATTTAATTCAAAAATTCCAAGGACAAGGATACCTCCCATGGATCAGGAGATTCCCAGACCCTTCCCAGCTGGAATTTGGGATCACTGAGGGTTTTTTGGGAATTCTGGGTCCCACCTGGGGTCACTCTGGGCTTGTTTGGGTGGGAAAAGCCCCTCAAATTCTCAAATTCCCACCCAAAATTCCAAAGGCAGGGACACCTCCCATAACCCCAGGAGATTCCCAGCTGGAATTTGGGAATCACTGAGGGTTTTTTTGGGAATTCTGGATCCCACCTGGGGTCGCTCCAGGCTCCTTTGGGTGGGAAAAGCCCCTCAAATCCTCAAATTCCCACCCAAAATTCCAAAGGCAGGGACACCTCCCATGGATCAGGAGATTCCCAGCTGGAATTTGGGATCACTGAGGGTTTTTTTGGGAATTCTGGATCCCACCTGGGGTCTCTCCGGGCTCATTTGGGTGGGAAAAGCCCCTGAAATTCCCATTAAATTCCAAAATTCCAAAGGCAGGGACACCTCCCATGGATCAGGAGATTCCCAGCTGGAATTTGGGATCACTGAGGGTTTTTTTGGGAATTCTGGATCCCACCTGGGGTCACTCTGGGCTTGTTTGGGTGGGAAAGGACCTCAAATTCTCAAATTCCCACCCAAAATTCCAAGGACAGGGACACCTCCCACGGATCAGGAGATTCCCAGCTGGAATTTGGGATCACTGAGGGTTTTTTTGGGAATTCTGGGTCCCACCTGGGGTCGCTGCGGGCTCCTTTGGGTGGGAAAAGCCCCTGAAATTCCCATTAAATTCCAAATTCCAAAGGCAGGGACACCTCCCATAACCCCAGGTGGCTCCCAGACCCCTCCCATCCAGAATTTGGGAATAATTGAATTTTTTTGGGAATTCTGGGTCCCACCTGGGGTCTCTCCGGGCTCCTTTGGGTGGGAAAAGCCCCTCAAATTCCCATTAAATTCCAAATTCCAAAGGCAGGGATACCTCCCACAACCCCTCCATCCTTCCCAGCTGGAATTTGGGAATCACTGAGGGTTTTTTTGGGAATTCTGGGTCCCACCTGGGGTCGCTCCGGGCTCCTTTGCGTGGGAAAAGCCCCTCAAATTCCCATTTAATTCCACAGGCAGGGACACCTCCCACCATCCTTCCCAGCTGGAATTTGGGAATAACTGAATTTTTTTGGGAATTCTGGCTCCCACCTGGGGTCGCTTCGGGCTCCTTTGGGTGGGAAAGGCCCCTCAAATCCTGAAATTCCCATTAAATTCCAAAGGCAGGGACACATCCCATGGATCAGGAGATTCCCAGCTGGAATTTGGGATCACTGAGGGTTTTTTTGGGAATTCTGGGTCCCACCTGGGGTCACTCCGGGCTCCTTTGGGTGGGAAAAGCCCCTGAAATTCCCATTAAATTCCAAATTCCAAAGGCAGGGACACCTCCCACCATCCTTCCCAGCTGGAATTTGGGATCACTGAGGGTTTTTTTGGGAATTCTGGCTCCCACCTGGGGTCGCTCCGGGCTCCTTTGCGTGGGAAAAGCCCCTGAAATTCCCATTTAATTCCACAGGCAGGGACACCTCCCACCATCCTTCCCAGCTGGAATTTGGGAATAACTGAATTTTTTTGGGAATTCTGGGTCCCACCTGGGGTCACTCCGGGCTTGTTTGGGTGGGAAAGGACCTCAAATTCTCAAATTCCCACCCAAAATTCCAAGGACAGGGACACCTCCCATGGATCAGGTGATTCCCAGCTGGAATTTGGGATCACTGAGGGTTTTTTTGGGAATTCTGGGTCCCACCTGGGGTCGCTCCGGGCTCGGGCTCCGCGGTAGAGGAAGAGGAGGCTCAGGAAGTGCACCAGGAATTGCAGCAGCACCGTCAGCACCGTGTACAGGTTGAAGATGTTGGGAAGAGGCCTCTCCTTGGAAAGGGTCTTCAAAGGCTGGGAATTTTCATTGGGAATTATAAATAAAAAAAAATAGGGAATGATTCGGGAATGTTGTTCTAAATTTTAGGGGGGTTTTTGGGAATTTTAGCTGGGAAAAATGGGATTTTTGAGGGGTGGGAAAACCCCCCTGGAAGGGTGGAGGGAGGAGGGGGAATTTCAGGAATTCTCAGTTGGAAGTGGGAATTTTTTCCAGCCCTGGAGCGTTCCAGGAATTCCTGAATTTTGAGGGGTTTTTAAGGAAAGAATTCCTGAATTTTTAAGGAAGGGATTCCTGAATTTTTAGGGATTTTTAAGGAAAGAATTCCTGAATTTTTAGGGATTTTTAAGGGAGGAATTTTGAGGGATTTTTAAAGAAGGGATTCCCGAATTTTTAGGGATTTTTAAGGAAGGGATTCCCAAATTTTTAAGGAAGGAATTCCTGAATTTTTAAGGAAGGAATTTTGAGGATTTAAAGAAGGGATTCCCAAATTTTTAGGGATTTTTAAGGAAGGGATTCCTGAATTTGTAGGGATTTTTAAGGAAAGAATTCCTGAATTTTTAAGGAAGGGATTCCTGAATTTTTAGGGATTTTTCAGGAAGGGATTCCCGAATTTGTAGGGATTTTTAAGGAAGGGATTCCCAAATTTGTAGGGATTTTTAAGGGAGGAATTTTTAGGGATTTTTAAGGAAGGAATTTTGAGGGATTTTTAAGGAAGGAATTCCTGAATTTGTAGGGATTTTTAAGGAAGGGATTCCCAAATTTTTAGGGATTTTTAAGGAAGGAACTGGGACCGGGATTTTTGGGAAAAACCCGAAATTCCGCGGAATTTCCTTCCCTCACCTTGGACCTGGAGATGAAGAGGAAACTCTGGGAGCTTCCCAAATCCAAGGGGACACAAAATCCCACCCCTCCAGTGTCACGGATTGGGAATTCCAGGGTCAGGGACTGGGAATTTACCACCAAAAATGGGATTTTTTGGGGTCAGAAAGGCACTTTTTGGGACCGGGATTTTTGGGAAAACCCGAAATTCTGAGGAATTTTCTCCCCTCACCTTGGACCTGGAGATGAAGAGGAAACTCTGGGAACATCCCAAGTACAGGGAAAGACACAAGGAGTGGGAATTTACCACAGAAAATGGGATTTTTGGGGGGCCAGAAAGGCACTTTTTGGGACCGGGATTTTTGGGAAAAACCCGAAATTCCACGGAATTTTCTCCCCTCACCTTGGACCTGGAGATGAAGAGGAAGCTCTGGGAGCTTCCCAAATCCAAGGGGACACAAAATCCCACCCCTCCAGCCTCATGGATTGGGAATTCCAGTGTCAGGGACTGGGAATTTACCACAGAAAATGGGATTTTTTGGGGCCAAAAAGGCACTTTTTGGGACAGGGATTTTTGGGAAAACCCCGAAATTCTGCAGAATTTTTTTCCCTCACCTTGGACCTGGAGATGAAGAGGAAACTTTGGGAGCATCCCAAATCCAAGGGGATACAAAATCCCACCCCTCCAGCGTCAGGGATTGGGAATTCCAGTGTCAGGGACTGGGAATTTACCACCAAAAATGGGATTTTTGGGGCCAGAAAGGCACTTTTTGGGACCGGGATTTTTGGGAAAACCCCGAAATTCCGCGGAATTTTCTCCCCTCACCTTGGACCTGGAGATGACCAGGAATATTTGGGAGCATCCCAACACACAATCCAGCACCAAGGATTGGGAATTTACCACCAAAAATGGGATTTTTGGGGGCCAGAAAGGCACTTTTTGGGACCGGGATTTTGGGAAGACCCGAAATTCCGCGGAATTTTCTTCCCTCACCTTGGACTTGGAGATGACCAGGAATATTTGGGAGCATCCCAACACACAATCCAGCACCAAGGAGTGGGAATTTACCATCAAAAATGGGATTTTTGGGGCCAGAAAGGCACTTTTTGGGACGGGGATTTTGGGATAAACCTGAAATGGTCCAATTGACATTTCCTCCCTCACCTTGGACCTGGAGATGAAGAGGAAACTTTGGGAGCATCCCAAATCCAGTGGAAAGACACAAGGAGTGGGAATTTACCACCAAAAATGGGATTTTTGGGGCCAGAAAGGCACTTTTTGGGATGGGGGTGGATGGGGAAGGGACAGGGATGGACCAATTGACATTCCCACGGAATTCCCATGGAATTCCCATGCATCTGGAGATGACCAGGAATATTTGGGACCATCCCAAGTACAGGGAAAGACACAAGGAGTGGGAATTTACCACAAAAAATGGGATTTTTGGGGCCAAAAAGGCACTTTTTGGGACCGGGATTTTTGGGAAAACCCGAATTCCATGGAATTTTCTTCCCTCACCTTGGACCTGGGGATGACCAGGAATATTTGGGAGCATCCCAAGTACAGGGAAAGACACAAGGAGTGGGAATTTACCACAAAAATGGGATTTTTGGGGCCAAAAAGGCACTTTTTGGGACCGGGATTTTTGGGAAAACCCTGAAATTCTGCGGAATTTCCTTCCCTCACCTTGGACTTGGAGATGACCAGGAATATCTGGGAGCATCCCAACACACAATCCAGCACTAAGGATTGGGAATTTACCACCAAAAATGGGATTTTGGGGGCCAGAAAGGCACTTTTTAGGATGGGGGTGGATGGGGATGGGACAGGGATGGACCAATTGACATTCCCACGGAATTCCCATGGATCTGGAGATGAAAAGAAATATTTGGGAGCATCCCAAATCCAGTAGGAAGACAAATGGAGTGGGAATTTACCACCAAAAATGGGATTTTTTGGGGGGCCAGAAAGGCACTTTTTGGGACCGGGATTTTTGGGAAAACCCGAAATTCCGCGGAATTTTCTCCCTCACCTTGGACTTGGAGATGACCAGGAATATCTGGGAGCATCCCAACACACAATCCAGCACCAAGGATTGGGAATTTACCACCAGAAAATGGGATTTTTGGGGGCCAGAAAGGCACTTTTTAGGATGGGGATTTTTGGGAAAACCCCGAATTCCGTGGAATTTTCTCCCCTCACCTTGGACCTGGAGATGAAGAGGAAACAGCCGGCCAGGAGCAGCCCCTGGAGGGTGGCCTGGAAGTCGCTGAACTTGACCCCCTCGAGGTAGAGGACGCTCTGGCTGTAGGCCAAGATGAGGGCGTTGAGGGCCAGGATCTTGAACATCTGCAGCGTCGTCACCAGAGTGCAGCGACCCTGCTTGATCACGTGGCAGACTGAGGGGAAAAGAGGACAGAAAATGGGAATAAAGGTGAGGGAAAGGGGGAAAAAATGGGAATAAAGGTGAGGGAAAAATAGGGGAAAAATGGGAAAAAACGTGAGGGAAAAATAGGGGGAAAATGGGAGTAATCGTGAGGGAAAAATAGGGGAATAAATGGGAATAAACGTGAGGGAAAAATAGGGGAAAAATGGGAGTAAACGTGAGGGTAAAATGGGAATAAATGTGAGGGAAAAATAGGGAAAAAATGTGAGGGGAAAATGGGGAAAAAATGGGAATAAACGTGAGGGAAAAATAGGGAAAAAATGGGAAAAAATGTGAGGGAAAAATAGGGGAAAAATGGGAATAAACGTGAGGGAAAAATAGGGGGAAAATGGGAATAAAGGTGAGGGAAAGGGGGTTTGGGGTTGAGGGCCAGGATCTTGAACATCTGCAGCGTCGTCACCAGCGTGCAGCGACCCTGCTTGATCACGTGGCAGACTGAGGGGAAAAGAGGACAAAAAATGGGAATAAAGGTGAGGGAAATGGGAATAAAGGTGAGGGAAAAATAGGGGAAAAATGGGAGTAAACGTGAGGGAAAAATAGGGAAAAAATGGGAGTAATCGTGAGGGAAAAATAGGGGAAAAATGGGAGTAAATGTGAGGGAAAAGTAGGGGAAAAATGGGAAAAAACGTGAGGGAAAAATGGGAAAAAATGTGAGGGAAAATAAGGGGGAAAATGGGAATAAACGTGAGGGAAAAATAGGGAAAAAATGTGAGGGGAAAATGGGGAAAAAATGGGAATAAACGTGAGAGAAAAATAGGGGAAAAATAAGAAAAAACGTGAGGGAAAAATAGGGGGAAAAAATGGGAATAAAGGTGAGGGAAAAATAGGGGAAAAATGGGAATAAACGTGAGGGAAAAATAGGGGGAAAATGGGAATAAATGTGAGGGAAAAATAGGGAAAAAATGTGAGGGAAAAATAGGGGGGAAAATGGGAATAAAGGTGAAGGAAAGGGGGTTTGGGGTTGAGGGCCAGGATCTTGAACATCTGCAGCGTCGTCACCAGCGTGCAGCGACCCTGCTTGATCACGTGGCAGACTGAGGGGAAAAGAGGACAGAAAATGGGAATAAAGGTGAGGGAAAGGGGAATAAAGGTGAGGAAAATGGGAATAAAGGTGAGGGAAAAATAGGGGAAAAATGAGAAAAAACGTGAGGGGAAAAATTGGAATAAACGTGAGGGAAAAATAGGGGAAAAATGGGAGTAATCGTGAGGGAAAAATAGGGAAAAAATGGGAGTAATCGTGAGGGAAAAATAGGGGAAAAATGGGAAGAAATGTGAGGGAAATATAGGGAAAAAATGGGAAGAAATGTGAGGGAAAAATAGGGAAAAAATGTGAGGGGAAAATAGGGAAAAATTGGGAATAAAGGTGAGGGAAAGGGGCTTTGGGGTTGAGGGCCAGGATCTTGAACATCTGCAGCGTCGTCACCAGAGTGCAGCGACCCTGCTTGATCACGTGGCAGACTGAGGGGAAAAGAGGACAGAAAATGGGAATAAAGGTGAGGAAAATGGGGAAAATGGGAATAAAGGTGAGGGAAAGGGGGAAAAATGGGAATAAAGGTGAGGAAAAGGGGAATAAAGGTGAGGGAAAGGGGGTTTGGGGTTGAGGGATCACCAGCGTGCAGCGACCCTGCTTGATCACGTGGCAGACTGAGGGGAAAAGAGGACAAGAAAATGGGAATAAAGGTGAGGAAAATGGGAATAAAGGTGAGGGAAAAATGGGGAAAATTGGGAGTAATCATGAGGGAAAAATAGGGAAAATATGGGAATAAACGTGAGGGAAAAATAGGGGGAAAATGGGAATAAACGTGAGGGAAAAATGGGGGAAAAATGGGAATAAAGGTGAGGGAAAAATGGGGGAAAAATGGGAATAAACCATCTGAAATGGTGGCAAAGCCTTGGAATTCCAAACAAAACGGTGGGAAATCCCTTAAATTCCCACACAAAAAGGTGGGAAAATCCTCGAATTTGAGGCCGTTTCTCCCTCTTTTCCCGGGGAATTCCCAGGGAATTCCCAGGGAATTCCCAGGCCGTTTCTCCCCATTCCCGGGGCTGATTCCCAGGGTTTTTTCCCGGTGTTTTTCCCGGTTTTTCCCGGCACTCACTGCACTGGATGGAGGAGAGTTTGGAAGTGAAGGGGGCAGCGATGCTGGCATCTCCCAATTTCACCACCGGAGCTCGTTCCTCTTCCAGGTCCTTCAGGACTTGGCTCAGTCGCTCCTGAAGGGAAAAAAAACCGGATTTAAATTCCCAAAATTGTTCCTGAGGGAAAAAAATGAGATTTGAATTCCCAAAGTTGTTCCAGGAGGAAAAAAATGGGATTTGAATTCCAGGAGCTGCTCCCTTGTTTTTTTTCCAGGAATTTACGGTTGGGATTGTTTTCCCACTGGAAAAATGGGATTGAGGGGGAATTTTTGGGAAGGAATCCTTGGCTGGGAAGAGCTTTGGGCTGGAATTCCCAGAGAAAACTCTGGAATTCCCATCCCTGGAAGTGCCCAAGGCCAGGTTGGATCCATGGGAAGCGTCCCTACCCTTGGAATTTTGTGGGAATGTGACAATCCTAAAATTTCTTCCCACCCAAAACCCATTCCAGGCTTCCCATCCCAGAATTCCCAGGAGGAAAAATCCCTGGAATAAAAAAACCCTTGGGAATCTCACCCTTTGGATGGCCAAGTGCTCTTCCCTGTGGGAGAGGATCCTGTGCTTGGCTCCTCGGGATGTGGGTTTGACATTCCCGGGAATTCCGGGATTTCCGGCCCTTCCGGAATCGCCGGGGCCGTCCCGGGGTCGCTTTTTCCGCTCGGGAATTCTCTCGGGAGCGTTGGCTAGGAGGGCAACCCCTGGAAAAGCGGGGTAATGAGATGTAAATTATATGTAAATTATATGTAAATTATATGTAAATGAGATGTGAATGGGATGTAAATGGAGTGTAAATGGGGTGTAAAATGGGGTGTAAATGGGATGTAAATGGGATGTAAATGGCATGTAAATGGGTGTAAATGAGGTGTAAATGGGGTGTAAAATGGGGTGTAAATGGGATGTAAATGAGATGTAAATGAGATGTAAGCGAGATGTGAGATGTAAATGAGATGTAAGTGATATGTAAATGAGATGTAAATGAGATGCAAACGGGATGTAAACGGGATGAGAACGGGATGTGAACGAGATGTAAATGAGATGTGAATGAGATGCAAATGAGGTGTAAATGGGGTGTAAATCAGATGTAAATGAGATTTAAATGAGATGTAAATTGAATGTAAATAGGATGTAAATGAGATGTAAAATGGGACATAAATGGGACGTAAATGGGATGTAAATGGGGTGTAAATGGAATGTAAATGGGATGTGAATGGGGTGTAAATGGGATGTGAGATGTAAATGGGATGTAAATGAGATGTGAATGAGATGTAAATGGGATGTAAATGAGATGGAAACAAGATGTAAATGGGGTGTAAATGAGATGTAATGGGATGTAAATGAGATGTAAGTGAGATGTAAATGGGGTGTAAATGGGATGTGAATGAGATGTGAATGAGATGTAAATGAGATGTGAATGGGATATAAATGGGATGTAAATGAGATGTAAATGGGACATAAATGGGATGTAAATGAGATGTGAATGAAATGTAAACGAGATGGAAATGGGGTGTAAATGATATGTAAATGAGATGTAAGTGGGGTGTAAATGAGATGTGAATGAGATGTAAATGGGATATAAATGAGATGTAAATGGGATGTGAATGGGATGTAATTGGGATGTAAAGGGGATGTAAATGGGGTGTAAATGGGGTGTAAATGGAATGTAAACGAGATGTAAATGGGATGCAAATGGGATGTAAATAGGATGTAAATGGGATGAATGTGAATAGTATGGAAAATGGGATGTAGGGATGGAGATGTAAATGGATGTAAATGAGATGTAAATGAGATGTAAATGGGATGTAATATGGAAACAAGATGTAAATGGGGAATGATATGTAATGGGATGTAAATGGAATGTAAATGGGATGTGAATGGGGTGTAAATGGGATGTAAATGAGATGTAAATGGGATGTAAATGAGATGTGAATGGGATGTAAATGAGATGTGAATGAGATGTAAATGGGATGTGAATGGGATGTAAATGAGATGGAATGAGATGTAAACGAGATGGAAATGGGATGTAAATGAGATGTAAATGAGATGTAAATGGGATGAATGAGATGGAATGATGTAAATAGGATGTAAATGGGATGTGAATGGGGTGTGAATGGTATGTAAATGAGATGTAAATGGGATGTAAATGGGTGTAAATGGATGTAAATAGGGTGTAAATGGGATGTAAATGGATGTAAATGGATATAAATGGGATGTAAATGAGATGTAAAGGAGGGGATGTAAATGGGATGTGAATGGGATGTAAATGAGATGTAAAGGGGATGCAAATGGGATGTAAATGGGATGTGAATGGAATGTAAAGGGGATGTAAAGGGAATGTAAATGGGGTGTAAATGAGATGTAAATGGCATGTAAACGGAATGTAAATGGGATGTAAATGGGATGTAAATTAGATGTAAATGGGGGGGGTTATAGGAGGTGGAGAGGGGAGAGAGGGGATTTTAGGGGAAAAAAGGGAAAAGTTGGGAATTTGGGAGGGGTTTTAGGGAGGAAAAGCAGGGAATTTTAGGGGAAAAAAAGTAGGAAAAATCAGGGAATTTTAGGGGAAAAAAGCAGGGAGAAGCAGGGAATTTTAGGGAAAAAAAGCAGGGAGAACCAGGGAATTTAAGGGGGAAAAAAGTAGGGAAAATCAGGGAATTTTAGGGAAAAAAGAGGGAAAATTGCAGGGAATTTTAGGGAAAAAAAAGCAGGAAAAATCTAGGAATTTTAGGGGAAAAAAAGTCAGGGCCCTGGCAGTCTGGAAAAGGTCAGGAATTCCAGGAAAACCCCAGGAATTCCCTGGAAAATGTGGGAATGCTCACCCACATCGGCAGGGATGGGAATTCCCTTCCTTCAGGGAATTTGGGAGGGATTTGAGGGAGAAAAAGCAGGAGAGAAACAGGGAATTTTAGGGGAAAAAAAGTAGGGAGAATCAGGGAATTTGGGAGGAATTTTAGGGAGGAAAAAGGAGGAAAAATCTAGGGAATTTTAGGGAAAAAAGCCAGGAAAATCAGGGAATTTTAGGGAAAAAAAGCAGGAAAATCAGGGAAGGGCCCTGGAGGAAAAGGAGAAAATCAGAATCTTAGGAAAGCCAGGAAAATCAGGAATTCTAGGGAAAAACAGGAAATCGGAAGGGCCCGAGCGAATCAGGAATTCCAGAAACCTGGAATTCCTGAATGTGGGAATGCTCACCCACGTCGGCGTGTTTGAGGGCGCCCACGTCGTTGGTGCCGTCGCCGCACATGAGGGTGGGGAAGCCCAAGCTCTTCAGGGAGGTGATGACGAATTCCTGGTGGGAAAAATCAGGGAAAATCAGGGAATTTGGGAGGGATTTTAAGGGAAAAAATCAGGAGAGAATCGGGGGATTTTAGGGGGAAAAACCCAGGGAGAATCAGCCTCATTCCCAGATTCCAAACCTTGGGAATTCCATGGGATGTCCCACCTTCTGCTTGGGCACCACCCTGGCAAACCTTGGGAATTCTGAGCTGGAAAAGGCTGAGGATTGTCCAGGATAACACCCTGAACCTCATTCCCAGATCCCAAACCTTGGGAATTCCGAGCTGGAAAAGGCTCAGGATTGTCCAGGAACACCCTGAGCCTCATTCCCAGATCCCAAACCTTGGGAATTCCCAGCTGGAAAAGGCTCAGGATTGTCCTGAACCTCATCCCAAGGTTCCAGGAGATCCCAAACCTTGGGAATTCCCTGGGCTGTCCCACCTTCTGCTTGGGCACCACCCTGGCAAACCTTGGGAATTTGGGTTGGAAAAGGCTCAGGATTGTCCAGGAACACCCTGAGCCTCATTCCCAGATTCCAAACCTTGGGAATTCAGGGCTGGAAAGGGATCAGGATTGTCCTGAACCTCATCCCAAGGTTCCAGGAGATCCCAAATTTGGGAATTCCCTGGGCTGTCCCACCTTCTGCTTGGGCACCACCCTGGCAAATCTTGGGAATTCCCAGCTGGAAAAGGCTCAGGATTGTCCTGAACCTCATCCCAAGGTTCCAGGAGATCCCAAAACTTGGGAATTCCATGGGATGTCCCACCTTCTGCTTGGGCACCACCCTGGCAAAGACTCGGATGTGTGGGATGAGGCGCAGGAGCCGTTCCCGATCCCGGCTCCGGAGGTGCTCCAGCCCCTCCCCCTCCCATTCCCAGCCTCCAAACCTTGGGAATTCCCAGCTGGAAAGGGATCAGGATTGTCCAGGAACACCCTGAGCCTCATTCCCAGATTCCAAACCTTGGGAATTCTGAACTGGAATGGGCTTAGGGATCTTCAGGATAACAACAGGGACACCCTGAACCTCACATCCAATCCTCCAAACCTTGGGAATTCCAAGCTGGAATGAGCTTGGAATTGTCCAGGACCACCCTGAGACTCATCCCAAGGTTCCAGGAGATCCCAAATTTGGGAATTCCCTGGGCTGTCCCACCTTCTGCTTGGGCACCACCCTGGCAAACCTTGGGAATTCTGAGCTGGAATGGGCTCAGGATTGTCCAGGATAACACCCTGATCCTCACATCCAATCCTCCAGATCTTGGGAATTCCCAGCTGGAAAGGGCTCAGGATTGTCCAGGAACACCCTGAGCCTCATTCCCAGATTCCAAACCTTGGGAATTCTGAACTGGAATGGCTCAGGATTGTCCAGGACACCTGACCTCATTCCAGATCCAAACCTTGGGAATTCCCAGCTGGAAAAGGCTCAGGATTGTCCAGGAACACCCTGAGCCTCATTCCCAGATTCCAAACTGGAATTCGAACTGAAGGGCTTAGGGATCTTCAGGATAACAACAGGGACACCCTGATCCTCACATCCAAACCTCCAGATCTTGGGAATTCCAAACTGGAATGGACTCAGGATTGTCCAGGACCACAATGGGACTTTCCCTCAGATTCCAAAGGATGGGAATTCGGGGTTGGAAAGGGTTTGGAATTGTTCAGGAACACCCTGAGCCTCATCCCAGACTCCAAGAGCTCCCAAATTCTGGGAATTCCGGGCTGGAAAAGGCTGAGGATTGTTCAGGATAACACCCTGAGCCTCATTCCCAGATTCCAAAGGTTGGGAATTCCCACCTTCTGCTTGGGCACCACCCTGGCAAAGACTCGGATGTGTGGGATGAGGCGCAGGAGCCGTTCCCGATCCCGGCTCCGGAGGTGCTCCAGCCCCTCCCCCTCCCATTCCCAGCCTCCAAACCTTGGGAATTCCCAGCTGGAAAAGGCTCTGGGAGTGTCCAGGAACACCCTGAGCCTCATCCCAGATTCCAAACCTTGGGAATTCCCAGCTGGAACAGACTCAGGATTGTTCAGGATAACACCCTGAGCCTCACATCCAATCCTCCAAATCTTGGGAATTCTGAGCTGGAAAGGGCTCAGGATTGTCCAGGAACACCCTGAGCCTCATTCCAGGGTTCCAAACCTTGGGAATTCTGAGCTAAAATGGACTCAGGATTGTCCAGGACCACAATGGGACTTTCCCCCAGATTCCAAACCTTGGGAATTCGGGGTTGGAAAGGGCTTGGGATTATTCAGGATAACACCCTGATCCTCACATCCAATCCTCCAAATCTTGGGAATTCTGAGCTGGAAGAGGCTCAGGATTGTCCAGGAACACCCTGAGCCTCATCCCAGACTCCAAGAGCTCCCAAATTCTGGGAATTCCAAGTTGGAAAAGGTTGATGATTGTTCAGGGTAACACCCTGATCCTCACATCCAATCCTCCAAATCTTGGGAATTCTGAGCTGGAAAAGGCTCAGGATTGTCCAGGAACACCCTGAGCCTCATTCCCAGATTCCAAACCTTGGGAATTCCAAGCTGGAAAAGGCTCAGGATTGTCCAGGAACACCCTGAGCCTCATTCCCAGATTCCAAAGGTTGGGAATTCCCAGCTGGAATGAACTCAGGATTGTCCAGGAACACCCTGAGCCTCATTCCCAGATTCCAAACCTTGGGAATTCGAGCTTGGAATGGGCTTAGGATTGTTCAGGATACACAGGACACCTGAGTCTCATTCCCAGATTCCAAATCTTGGGAATTTGGGGTTGGAATGGGCTCAGGATTGTCCAGGACCACCCTGAGCCTCATCCCAAGGTTCCAGGAGATCCCAACTTTGGGAATTCCCTGGGCTGTCCCACCTTCTGCTTGGGCACCACCCTGGCAAACCTTGGGAATTCGGGGTTGGAATGGACTCAGGATTGTCCAGGACCACAATGGGACTTTCCCCCAGATTCCAAAGGTTGGGAATTCCCACCTTCTGCTTGGGCACCACCCTGGCAAAGACTCGGATGTGTGGGATGAGGCGCAGGAGCCGTTCCCGATCCCGGCTCCGGAGGTGCTCCAGCCCCTCCCCCTCCCATTCCCAGCCTCCAAACCTTGGGAATTCTGAGCTAAAATGGACTCAGGATTGTCCAGGAACACCCTGAGCCTCATTCCCAGATTCCAAACCTTGGGAATTCCCAGCTGGAAAAGGCTGAGGATTGTTCAGGATAACACCCTGATCCTCACATCCAATCCTCCAAATCTTGGGAATTCTGAGCTGGAAAGGGCTCAGGATTGTTCAGGAACACCCTGAGCCTCATTCCAGGGTTCCAAACCTTGGGAATTCCAGGCTGGAAAGGGATCAGGATTGTCCAGGACCACAATGGGACTCTTCCCAGGGTTGGAAAAGGCTCAGGATAACACCCTGATCCTCACATCCAATCCTCCAAACCTTGGGAATTCCAAGCTGGAAAAGGCTCAGGATTGTCCAGGAACACCCTGAGCCTCATTCCCAGACTCCAAGAGCTCCAAATTTGGGAATTCTGAGCTGGAATAGGGCTGATGATTGTTCAGGATAACACCCTGAGCCTCATCCCAGATTCCAAACCTTGGGAATTCTGAGCTGGAATGGGCTCAGGATTGTCCAGGAACACCCTGAGCCTCATTCCCAGATTCCAAACCTTGGGAATTCCAAGCTGGAAAAGGCTCAGGATTGTCCAGGAACACCCTGAGCCTCATTCCCAGATTCCAAACCTTGGGAATTCCCAGCTGGAATGAACTCAGGATTGTCCAGGAACACCCTGAGCCTCATTCCCAGATCCCAAACCTTGGGAATTCGAACTTGAATGGGCTTAGGGATCTTCAGGATAACAACAGGGACACCCTGAGTCTCATTCCCAGATTCCAAACCTTGGGAATTTCGAGCTGGAAATAGGCTTAGAATTGTCCAGGACCACCCTGAGCCTCATCCCAAGGTTCCAGGAGATCCCAACTTTGGGAATTCCCTGGGCTGTCCCACCTTCTGCTTGGGCACCACCCTGGCAAACCTTGGGAATTCGGGGTTGGAATGGACTCAGGATTGTCCAGGACCACAATGGGACTTTCCCCCAGATTCCAAAGGTTGGGAATTCCCACCTTCTGCTTGGGCACCACCCTGGCAAAGACTCGGATGTGTGGGATGAGGCGCAGGAGCCGCTCCCGATCCCGGCTCCGGAGGTGCTCCAGCCCCTCCCCCGTCAGGCAGAGGTCGAAGGGCTCCGTCAGCTCCCGCTGGGATTTCGGGAATGCCGGGAGAGCCACGGAGCCGTCCCGGGATTGCCACTGCCACGGAGAGCCTGGAATGGGGGGGATAAAGGGAGAGAGGGGGGAAAGTTGGGAATGTGACGGAGTTATCGCGGGGATCGGCAGGGATGGGGGAAATTTCGGGGGATTTGGGATTTGTTTTGGGGATTTTTTGGGGATTTTTGGGGGTTTTTTGGGGGTTCATTTTGGGAATTTTTGGGTTTACTTTTTGGGGTTTTTGGGAATTTTGGGGGTTTGGGGGTTATTTTGGGGTTTTTGGGTTTATTTTTGGTGGGTTTGGGGGGTTTTTGGGTTTATTTTTGGGGTTTTGGGTTTATTTTGGGGATTTTTGGGTGGGGTTTGTCTTATTTCTGGGGTTTTGAGTTTATTTTGGGGATTTTGGGGTTTATTTTGGGGGATTTTTGGGGTTTGGGTTTATTTTGGGGGTTTTGGGTTTATTTTGGGGATTTTTGGGTTTAGGGTTTATTTGGGGATTTTTGGTGGTTTTGGGTTTATTTTGGGGACTTTAGGATTTTTGGGGCCTTTGGGTTTATTTTTGGGGATTTTTGGGTTATTTTGGGAGTTTATTTTAGTTAGGGTTATTTTGGGGTTTTTGGGGTTTTATTTTTGGTGGGTTTTTGGGGGTTTTGGGTTTATTTTTGGTATTTTTGGTTTATTTTCGGGGATTTTTGGTTTTTTGGGGTTTTTGGTCTATTTTGGGGTTTTGGGTCTTATTTTAGATTTTTTGGGAGTTTTGGGATTTGTGATTGTTTATTGCCTTTGGGTTTTTTGGGGTTTTTGTTATTTTTGAGATTTTTCTGGGGTCATTTTGGGGGATTTATTTTGGGATTTATTTTTGGGGCTTTTTTGGGTTTATTTTTGGGGTTTTGGGGTTTATTTTTAGAGTTTTATGGGGGTTTATGTTTTGGGATTTTTTACGGGGATTTTGGGGTTTTTGGGTGTTATTTTGGGGATTTTTGGGGGTTTATTTTGGGGTTTGGGGCTTATTTTTGGGGCATTTTAGGCTTATTTTGGGGATTTTGTGTTTTGGATTCATTTTTGGGCTCATTTCGGGTCTTATTTTGGGGATTTTGGGGTTTTGGGTTTATTTATTTGGGGTTTTGGGGTTTATTTTGGTGGTTTTGGGGTTTATTTTTGGGTGGTTTTGGGGTTTATTTTTGGGTGTTAGTGTTTTGGGGATTTGGGTTGTGGGGTTTTTGGGCTTAGTTTTGGGCATTTTGGGTCTTATTTTGGGGATTTTAGGGGTTTTAGGGCTTATTTTGGGTGGTTTTTGGGAATTATTTTGGGGATTTTGGGGTTTTCGGGTTTTAGATTTTGGGTTTTAGTTGTTTGACATTTTAGGGGTTTGGGGTTTAGTTGGGTATTTTTCGGGTTTTGGGGATTTTAGGGTTTATTTTGGGGATTTTTGTGGGTTTATTTTGGGGGGTTTAGGGCTTATTTTTTGGGGGCATTTTGGGGTTATTTTGGGGATTTTTGTGTTTTTTTGGACTCATTTTGGGCATTTTTCGGGTCTTATTTTGGGGATTTTGGGGGGTTTTTTGGGTTTATTTTTTGGGAGTTTTGGGGTTTATTTTAGGGTTTTGGGGTTATTTTTGGTGGTTTTTGGGTTTATTTTAGGGTTTATTTAGGGATTTTGTGGGTTTTGGGCTTATTTTGGGCATTTTTGGTCTTATTTTGGGGATTTTTGGGGGTTTTGGAGGCTCATTTGTAGGGTTTTTGGGAATTATCTGGGGATTTTGGGGAGGTTTTGGGGATTTTTAGGGTTTTGGGTTTATTTGGGGATTTTTGGGGGTTTGGGTTTATTTTTGGGGATTTTGGGGTTTATTTTGCATGGGATTTTGGGGGTTTGGGTTTATTTTGGGGATTTTTGGAGTTTAGGGTTTATTTTGGGGTTTTGGGTTTATTTCTGGGGATTTTGGGGTTTCGGGGGTTTTGGGGGATTTTTGGAGTTTGGGTTTATTTTTGGTGGTTTTAGGGGTTTATTTTGGGGATTTTTGTGGGGTTTGGGGTTTATTTTGGGGATTTTGGGGGGGTTTGGGGTTTATTTTGGGGATTTTTGGGGATTTTTTGGGGGGCTTTTGGGTTTATTTTGGGGTTTTTTGGGTTTATTTTTGGTGGTTTTAGGGGTTTATTTTGGGTTTATTTTGGGGATTTTTTGGGGTTTTGGGGATTTTTGGGGGGCTTTTGGTTTATTTTTGGGGTTTTTTTTGAGGGGTTTTGGTTTATTTTGGGGATTTTTGGGGGGGTTTTGGGTTTATTTTGGGGTTTTTTGGGGGCATTTTTGGAGGTTTTGGGTTTATTTTGGGGATTTTTGGGGGGAATTTCAAGGGATTTGGGGGTTTATTTTGGGGATTTTGGGTGGGTTTTTTGGGTTTATTTTGGGGTTTTGGTGTTTATTTTTGGTGGGTTTTTGGGGTTTATTTTGGAGTGTATTTTGAGGATTTTGTGGGTTTTTTGGACTCATTTTGGGCATTTTTCGGGTCTTATTTTGGGGATTTTTTGGGTTTATTTTTTGGGGGATTTTTGGGGGATTTTTTGGGGGGTTTTTTTTGGGTTTATTTTTGGTGGGTTTTTGGGGTTTATTTTGGGGCTTATTTTGGAGATTTTTGTGGGTTTTTTGGACTTATTTTGAGCATTTTTTGGGTCTTATTTTGGGGATTTTTGTGGGGTTTTTTTGGGATTTGTGTAGTTTTTTTGGGCTTATTTTGGGGATTTTTTGTGGGTTTTTTGGGTTCATTTTGAGAGGTTTTTTGGGAATTATTTTGGGGATTTTGGGGGGTTTTTTGGGCTTATATTGGAATTTTTTCAGCTCTTGTTTTGGGGATTTTTGGGGTTATTTTGGGGTTTTTGGGTTTATTTTTGGTGGGTTTTTGGGGTTTATTTTGGGGGGCTTATTTTAGGGATTTTTTTTTTGGTTTTTTGGGCTCATTTTGGGCATTTTTCAGGTCTTATTTTGGGGATTTTTTGGGGTTTATTTTTTGGGGGGTTTTGGGGGTTATTTTGGGGATTTTTGTTGGCTTTTTGGGTTTATTTTTGGTGGGTTTTTGGGCTTTATTTTGGGGCTTATTTTGAGGATTTTGGAGGGTTTTTTGGGCTCATTTTGGGCATTTTTCAGGTCTTATTTTGGGGGTTTTTTTGGGTTTATTTTGGGGATTTTTGGGGGTTTATTTTGGGGATTTTGGGGGGTTTTTTTGGCTCATTTTGAGTATTTTTTTGGGTCTTATTTTGGGGGTTTTTTTGGGTTTATTTTGGGGATTTTTGGGGGTTTATTTTGGGGATTTTTGGGGGTTTTTTGGGCTCATTTTGGGCATTTTTTGGGTCTTATTTTGGGGTTTTTTGGGTTTATTTTGGGGCTTATTTTTTGGGGCTTATTTTGGGGATTTTGGTGGATTTTTTGGGTTTATTTTGGGCATTTTTCGGGTCTTATTTTGGGGGTTTTTTTGGGTTTATTTTGAGCATTTTTCGGGTCTTATTTTGGGGATTTTTTGTGTTTTTTTTGGGCTCATTTCGGGTTTTTTTTTTAGGATTTTTGGGGGGTTTTGTGTTTATTTTGGGGTTTTGGTGTTTATTTTTGGTGGGGTTTTGGGGTTTATTTTGGGGCTTATTTTGGGGATTTTTGGGGGGTTTTTGGGCTTATTTTGGGCATTTTTCGGGTCTTATTTTGGGCATTTTTCAGGTGTTATTTTGGGCATTTATCGGGTCTTATTTTGGGCATTTTTCTGGTCTTATTTTGGGGATTTTTGTGGTTTTTTTGAGCTCATTTGGGGTTTTGTTTTTAGGAATTATTCTGCCCATCCCAAATCCCTTTCCAGGCACCTTTGGAAGGCGGTTTATTTTGGTTTTTTTGGGTTTATTTTGGGGATTTTTGGGGGGTTTTTTGGGCTTATTTTGGGCATTTTTCAGGCCTTATTTTGTGGATTTTTGTGGGGTTTTTTGGGCATTTTTGTGGGTTTTTTTGGGGATTTTTGGGGGTTTTTTGGGTCTTATTTTGGGGGGTTTTTTGGGCTCATTTTGGGGTTTTTTTTGGGAATTATTTTGGGGATTTTTGTGGGTTTTTTGGGCTCATTTTGGGCATTTTTCGGGTCTTATTTTGCGGATTTTTTTGGGCTTATTGTTTGGGGGGTTTTCGGGCTTATTTTTAGGGAATTTTGGGGTTTCTTTTGGGGCTTATTTTGGGGATTTTTGGGGGGTTTTTTGGGCTTATTTTGGGCATTTTTCAGGCCTTATTTTGTGGATTTTTCAGGCCTTATTTTGGGGATTTTTGTGGGTTTTCTGGACTTATTTTGGGCATTTTTCAGGTCTTATTTTGGGGATTTTTGTGGTTTTTTGAGCTCATTTGGGGTTTTTTTTGGGGAATTATTCTGCCCATCCCAAATCCCTTTGGGGGCACCTTTGGAAGTTGGAGGCTGCAGGATGAGGGTCTTCTCCTTCTGCAGGAAGTGCAGCTCCCTGGCCACGTGGCAGGCGGTCAGGGGGTTGTCCCCAGTGATCATCACCACCTGCAGGATGGGGAATTTTGGGAATTCCAGGAATTTCCTGGGAGGGAATTTTCCTCCCGCCCACAAAATTCCCGCCTGGATTTTGGGGTAAGTCACAACTCCTCCTTTTTATCCCACCCCAAAAACAACCCCAGCTCCACAAGAATTTCCCTCTTTTCCACCTATTTTCCTTTTTTCCCCCCTTTTTTCCCCCTTTTCCCTCATTCCAGAGGCTCCCAACTCTCTGGAAGCGGCACTTGGGGCCAGGCTTTAATGGTTGGATCCAGCAATTCCCAACAGCTTTTCCAACATTCCCTGTCCCACCAGGACAATTCCCACCCCAAAACCAACCCCATCTCCACAGCATTTCCCTCTTTTCCCACCTATTTTCCCTCTTTCCCCTCTCTTTTCCCCATTTCCCCTCATTCCAGAGGCTCCCAATCCTTGGGAATTGCACTTGGGTCACTTTTTAATGGTTCAACTCAACGATCCCAGAGTCTTTTCCAACATTTCCCCTGCTTTCCCACCAGGATTTTCCCACCTCTTTTCCCTTCATCTTCCCCTCTCTTTTCCCTCTTTCCCCTCTCTTTTCCCTCCATTTCCCCCCTTTTTTCCCTCTTTTCCACCTATCTTCCCTCTTTCCCCTCTCTTTTCCCTCTTTCCCCTCTATTTTCCCTCCATTTTCCCCCTTTTTTCTCTCTTTTCCACCTCTTTTCCCTCTATTTTCCCTCCATTTTCCCCCCTTTTTTCCCTCTTTCCCCTCTATTTCCCCTCCATTTTCCCCCTCTTTTCCCTCCATTTTCCCCCCTTTTTTCCCTCTTTTCCACCTCTTTTCCCTCTTTCCCTCCATTTTCCCCCTTTTCCCCCCTATTTTCCCACGTATTTTCCCTCTTTCCCCTCTCTTTCCCTCTTTTTTCCCTCTTTTTTCCCTCTCTATTTTCCCTCTCTTTTCCTCCTTTCCTCTTTTTTCCCTCCATTTTCCCCTTTTTTCCCTCTTTCCCCTCTACTTTTCCTCTCATTTTCCCTCTTTCCCTCTTTTTCCATCTTTCCTCTCTATTTTCCTCTCCATTTTCCCTCTCTTTCCTCTTTCTACCTTTTTCCCTCCTTTCTTTTCCTCTCTTTTTCTCCTCTTTCCCTCTCTCTCCTCTTTCCTCTCTCTTTTCCTCTTTCCTCTCTCTTTTCCTCTTTCCTCTCTCTTTTCCTCTTTCCTCTCTCTTTTCCTCTTTCCTCTCTCTTTTCCTCTTTCCTCTCTCTTTTCCTCTTTCCTCTCTTTTCCCTCTTTCCTCTCTCTTTTCCTCTTTCCTTTCTCCTTTCCTTTTCCCTCTTTCTCTTTCCTCTCTCATTTTCCCTTTCCTCTCTTTCCCTCTTTCCTCTCTTTTTCCCTCTTTCCCTCTCTTTTCCTCTTTCCTCTCTTTCCTCTTTCCCTCTTTTCCCTCTTTCCTCTATCCTCTTTTCCTCTCTCTTTCCTCTTTCCTCTCTCTTTTCCTCTTTCCTCCCTCTTTTCCTCTTTCCTCTCCCTCTTTTCCACCTCTTTCCCCTCTTTTTTCCTCTTTTCCCCTCTCTTTTCCCTCTTTCCCCTCTCTTTTCCTCTTTCCTCTCTCTTTTCCCTCTTTTCCCTCTCTTTTCCCTCTTTCCCTCTCTTTCCTTTCTCCTCTATTTTCCCTCTTTCCCCTCTTTTCCTCTTTTCTCCTCTCTTTTCCTCTTTTCCCTCTTTCCCCTCTATTTTCCCTCTTTCCCCTCTTTCCCACCTATTTTCCCACCTCTTTTCCCCTTCTTTTCCCTCTTTTCCTCTCTTTTCCCTCCATTTTCCCCCTTTTTCCCCTCCATTTCCCCTTTCCCCCTCTATTTTCCCTCTTTTCCCCTCTTTTTTCCCCTCTTTTCCACCTCTTTCCCCTCTATTTTCCCTCTTTCCCACCTCTTTTCCCTCTTTTCCCTCTCTTTTCCCCTCTATTTTCCCTCTTCTTTTCCATCTTTTTTCCCCTCTTCCTCTCTATTTTCCCTCCATTTTCCCCCCTTTTTTCCCTCTTTTCCACCTCTTTTCCCTCTTTCCCCCCTTTTTTCCCTCTTTTCCACCTCTATTCCACCTATTTCCCCTCTTTCCTCTCTATTCTCCCTGTTTCCCCTCTCTTTTCCCTCCATTTCCCTCTTTTCCTCTATTTTCCCTCTATTTCCCTCTTTTTCCCTCTTTCCCACCTATTTTCCTCTTTTCCTCCATTTTCCCTCTTTTCCCCTCTATTTTCCCTCTTTTCCCCTCTATTTTCCCTCTTTCCCCCCTTTTTTCCCTCTTTTCCCTCTATTTTCCCTCTTTCCCCTCTCCCTCCATTTTCTCCCCTTTTTTCCCTCTTTTCCCTCTTTCCCCTCTATTTTCCCTCTTTCCCCATCTCTCTTTTCCCCTCTTTCCTCCTCTTTTCCCCTCTCTTTTTCCCTCTTTTCCATCTTTTTTCCTTCTCTCTATTTTCCTCCATTTTCCCTCTTTTTCCCTCTATTTTCCCTCTTCTTTCCCTCTTTTCCCTCTTTTCCCTCTTTTCCATCCTCTATTTCCCACCTATTTCCCTCTTTCCTCTCTATTTTCCCTCTTTCCTCTCTTTTTCCTCCATTTCCCCTTTTTCCCTCTTTTTCCCACCTATTTTCCCACCTATTTTCCCTCTTTTTCCTCCATTTCCCTCTTTTTCCTCTTTTCCCTCTTTCCACCTCTTTTTCCCTCTTTTCCCTCTATTTTCCCTCTTTCCCCTCTATTTTCCCTCCATTTCCCCCCTTTATTCCCTCTTTTCCCACCTATTTTCCCACCTATTTTTCCTCTTTCTCCTCCATTTTCCCCCCCTTTTTCCCCTCTTTTCCCTCTTTTCCCACCTCTTTTTCCACCTCTTTCCCCTCTATTTTCCCTCTTTCCCTCTCTTTTCCCTCCATTTCCCCCCCTTTTTTCCCTCTTTCCCACCTCTTTTCCCTCTTTTCCACCTCTTTCCCCTCTATTTTCCCTCCATTTCCCCCCCTTTATTCCCTCTTTTCCCACCTCTTTCCCACCTATTTTTCCACCTATTTTCCCACTTATTTTCCACCTCTTTCCCCTCTCTTTCCCCTCCATTCCCCCCTTTTTTCCCCTCTTTTCCCTCCATTTTCCCCCCTTTATTCCCTCTTTTCCCACCTATTTTCCCACCTATTTTCCCTCTTTCCCACCTATTTTCCCTCCATTTCCCCCCCTTTTTTTCCCCACCTATTTCCCCTCTCTTTTCCCTCTTTCCCCTCTCTTTTCCCTCCATTTTCCCCCCTTTTTTCCCCTCTTTTCCCACCTCTTTTCCCACCTATTTTCCCACTTATTTCTCACCTCTTTTCCCCCTTTCCCCTCCATCCCCCTCTTCCCCCTCATTCCCGACGCTCCCAACCCTTGGGAAGCGACCCCCCCAGAACTCTCAACACTCCCAAACCCTCCCAGGGTTTTTCCAAGCCCTCTTTTTTCCCTGGAATTGCCCCTCACGTGGTGGGAAGCGTTCTGGATCTCCCTGATGACGGCTTTGGAGTCGGCTTTGAGGGGGGAGGAGACCACGACGAAGCCCACGAACCTCAGCTCGCATTCCAAGCTCTCCCTCTTCAGATCACGCACCTGACGGCAGAAAAAATCAGGAAAAGTTTGGGGAAACTCGGGGAAAAAATTGGGAAAAGTTTGGGAAAACTCTACTAAAAATTTGGGAAAAATTTGGGAAAAATTGGGGAAAATTTGGGAAAACTTTAGGAAAATTCTGGGAAAAAATTGGGAAAATTTGTTAAAGGTTTGGGAAAAGTTTGGGAAAAATGTGGGAAAACTCTGGGAAAACTCTGGGAAAAATTTGGGAAAACTTTGGGAAAAGTTTGGGAAAAGTTTGGGAAAACAAGAATAATCTGGGAAAAGTTTGGGAAAACTCTGGGAAAAGTTTGGGAAAACTTTGGAAAAATTTGGGAAAAGTTTGGGAAAAATTGGGGAAAAGTTTGGGAAAAGTTTGGGAAAAGTTTGGGAAAACTTAAGAATAATCTGGGAAAAGTTTGGGAAAACTTAAGAATAATCTGGGAAAAATTTGGGAAAACTCTGGGAAAAATTTGGGAAAACTCTGGGAAAACTTTGGGCAAAGAGCACCTCGCTTTTCCAAGCAGGTGGTTCCCTAACACCTGGAAAAAAATCCTGGAATGGCAGCTCAAAAAAAAGGTGATTTTCGGGTTTTTTTGGAGGCACCAAACTCCTCATTCCCAATTAAAAACCCCAAGGAATTCCACCCCAAAACCCCTCCAGGAATTCCAAGGAAAAACCCCGACCCCCCTTCCCAAGCAGAAATCCGGGAACAGCACCGGGAACACAAATCCCAATAAAAAAACCCCCACTGAGCTCTCCATTTTCCCAAAAAATCCCCTTTTTAGCAGCAAATCCAGCCCCCCCATCCCAAAAAAACCTCCTTTTCTTCCCAAAAAATCCCTTTTTCCTTGGATTTGAAGGTTGGGAAGTTAAAATTCACCTGCTGGTGGGTGAGGGGTCCCAATTCCTTGTAGCCCAGGGCCAAAACTCGAGCCCCCTCGTGGGAGATTTCCCGGTGCACGGCGTGGTAGTCGCTGGGACAGTGGGATAACTGCAGGGAACAAAAAAACAGGGATAAAAGATGGGATTTAGGGGATTTCAGGGATTTCAGGGATTTTTCAGGAGGAGATTTGAGGGGTTTGGGGGAAAAATGGGGAGAGAATAAGGGGGAAAGAGATTTTGGGATTGACACTTGTTCTTCCCTAAAAATTTTGGGACAAGTCCCTCATCCTGTCCATTCCTAAAACTTTGGGATTGTCACTTCTCCATCCCCAAAACCCTGGGATTTATCACCTGTCCATCCCTAAAACTTTGGGATAAGTCCCCCATCATTTCCTTCCCAAAACCCCTGGGAATAATCACCAGTCCATCCCTAAAACTTTGGGACAAGTCCCTCATCCTTTCCTTCCCCAAAACCCTGGCATTAATCACCTGTCCATCCCTAAAACTTTGGGATAAATTCCCCATCCTGTTCTTCCCAAAAACTTTGGGATTAATCACCTGTCCTTCCCAGAAACTTTGGGATTAATCACCTCCATCCTGGGATATCACCTGTCCTCCAAAAACTTTGGATTAATCACCTGTCCATCCTAAAAACTTTGGGATAAGTCCCCATTCCTTTCCTTCCCAAAAACTCTGGGATTAATCACCAATCCTTCCCAAAAACTCTGGGATCAAGTCATCCCATTCATTTCCTTCCCAAAAACTCTGGGATTAATCACCAATCCATCCCAAAAATTTTGGGACAAGTCCCTCATCCTGTCCATCCCAAAAACCCTGGGATTAATCACCTGTCCATCCCAAAAACTCTGGGATTTATCACCCGTCCATCCCAAAAACTTTGGGATAAATCCCCCATCCTTTCCATTCCCAAAACTCTGGGAATCATCACCTGTCCATCCCAAAAATTTTGGGACAAGTCCCCCATCCTTTCCTTCCCAAAAACTTTGGGATTAATCACCTGTCCATTCCAAAAACTCTGGGATTAATCACCTGTCCATCCCCAAAAAATTGGGATTAATCACCTGTCCTTCCCAAAACTTTGGGATTAGTCCCCATCCTGTCCTTCCCAAAACTTTGGGATTAATCACTTGTCCTTCCCAAAACTTTGGGATTGTCACTTGTCCTTCCCAAAAACTCTGGGATTAATCACCAATCCATCCCAAAAATTTTGGGACAAGTCCCTCATCCTGTCCATCCCAAAAACCCTGGGATTAATCACCTGTCCTTCCCAAAAACTCAGGGATTAATCACCTGTCCATCACAAAAAAATTGATTAACCCTGGGCATCCTAAACTGATCGATCACTAGTCCATCCCTAAAACTTCTGGGATTTGTCACTTCGTCCATCCCCAAAACTCTGGGATTAATCCCCCATCCTTTCCTTCCCAAAAACTTTGGGATTGTCACTTGTCCTTCCCAAAAACTCTGGGATTAATCACCAATCCATCCCAAAAACTTTGGGATTGTCACTTTTCCTTCCTAAAAACTTTGGGATTGTCACTTGTCCTTCCCAAAAACTTTGGGATTAATCACCTGTCCTTCCCAAAAACTTTGGGATAAGTCCCCCATTCCTTCACTTTGGGATTAATCACCGATTGTCACTTGTCTTCCTAAAACTTTGGGATTAATCACCTGTCCATCCTAAAACTTTGGGATTATCACCTGTCCTTCCCAGAAACTTTGGGATTGTCACACTGTCCATTCCTAAAACTTTGGGATTGTCACTTGTCCTTCCCTAAAACTTTGGGATTGTCACTTGTCCTTCCTAAAAACTTTGGGACAAGTCCCCCATCCTTTCCTTCCCAAAAATCCTGGCATTAATCACCAATCCATCCCAAAAACTTTGGGATTGTCACTTTTCCTTCCTAAAACTTTGGGATTGTCACCTGTCCATCCCAAAAATTTTGGGACAAGTCCGTCATCCTGTCCATCCCAAAAACTTTGGGATTAATCACCTGTCCTTCCTAAAAATTTTGGGATTAATCACCTGTCCATCCCAAAAACTCTGGGATTAATCACCAATCCATCCCAAAAACTTTGGGATTGTCACTTGTCCATCCCCAAAACCTTGGGATTAATCACCTGTCCTTCCCAAAAACTTTGGGATTGTCACTTGTCCTTCTCAAAAACTTTGGGATTGTCACTTTTCCTTCCTAAAAACTTTGGGATTAATCACCTTTCCTTCCTAAAAACTTTGGGATTGTCACTTGTCCATCCCAAAAACCCCGGGATTAATCACCAGTCCTTCCCAAAAACTTTGAGATAAATTCCCCATCCTGTTCATCCCAAAAACCCTGGGAATAATCACCTTTCCATCCCAAAAAATTGGGATTGTCACCTGTCCATCCCAAAAATTTTGGGACAAGTCCCCCATCCTTTCCTTCCCAAAAACTCTGGGAATAATCACCAATCCATCCCAAAAACTTTGGGATTAGTCACCTGTCCTTCCCAAAAACTCTGGAACAAGTCCCCCATCCTGTCCTTCCCAAAAACTCTGGGATTAATCACCTGTCCATCCCAAAAACTTTGGGACAAGTCCCTCATCCCATCCATCCCCAAAGTGACAAATCCCACCTCCAAGGAAGGAAACATCCCAACTCCAAACAGGGAAAATTCCTATTCCAAAGAGGGAAAATCCCAACACCAAAGAGGGAAAAATCCCAACTCCAAGGAAGGAAAAATCCCAACCCCAAAAAGGGCAAAATCCCAACTAAAAGGAGTGAAAAATTCCTATTCCAGAGAGTGAAAAATCCCAACTCCAAAGAGGGAAAAATTCCACCTCCAAGGAGGGTAAAATTCCTATTCCAAAGAAGGAAAAATCCCAACTAAAAGGAGTGAAAAATTCCTATTCCAAAGAGGGCAAAATCCCAACTCCAAATAAGTAAAAATCCCAATTCCAACCAGTGACAAATTCCACTTCCAAAGATGGAAAATTCCTATTACAAAGAAGGAAAAATCCCAACTCCAAAGAGGGAAAAATCCCAACTCCAACCAGTGACAAATTCCACTTCCAAACAGTGGAAATGGACCCAAAATTCAGCAAAATTCCAACAAAAAGGACTGAAAAATTCCTATTCCAAAGAATAAAAACCCCACCTCCAAAGAAACAAAAACCCCAACTCCAACCAGCGACAAATCCCACAAATCCCACCTCCAGAGAGGGAAAAATCCCAACTCCAAAGAGGGTAAAATCCCAACTCCAAGGAGGCAAAATTCCTATTCCAAAGAAGCAAAAATCCCACCTCCAAAGAAGCAAAAATCCCAACTCCAAAAAGGGCAAAATTCCTATTCCAAAGAGTGAAAAATCCCAACTCCAAAGAAGGAAAAATTCCTATTCCAAAGAGGGCAAAATTCCTATTCCATGAGAGGGAAAAATCCCAACTCCAAAGAGGGAAAAATCCCAACTCCAAAGAGGGAAAAATCCCAACTCCAAAGAAGTAAAAATCCCACCTCCAAAGAGGGCAAAATTCCTATTCCAAAGAAGGAAAAATCCCAACTCCAAAAAAGCAAAAATCCCAACTAAAAGGAGTGAAAAATTCCTATTCCAGAGAGGGCAAAATCCCAGTTCCAAGGAGGGAAAAATCCCACTTTCAAAGAAGCAAAAATCCCAACTAAAAGGAGTGAAAAATTCCTATTCCAGAGAGGGCAAAATTCCTATTGCAAAGAGGGAAAAATCCCAACTCCAAAGAGGGAAAAATCCCAACTCCAAAGAGGGAAAAATCCCAACTCCAAAGAGGGAAAAATCCCAACTCCAAAGAGGGCAAAATTCCTATTCTAAAGAATAAAAATCCCAACTCCAAAGAGGGCAAAACTCCTATTCCAAACAGGGAAAAATCCCAACTCTAGAGAGGGAAAAATCCCAACTCCAAAGAGGGAAAAATCCCAACTCCAAAGAAGGAAAAATCCCAACTCCAGAGAGGGAAAAATTCCTATTCCAAAGAAGCAAAATTCCTATTCCAAAGAAGCAAAAATCCCAACTCCAAAGAAGCAAAAATCCCAACTAAAAGGAGTGAAAAATTCCTATTCCAGAGAAGGTAAAATCCCAGTTCCAAAGAGGGAAAATTCCTATTCCAAAGAAGCAAAAATCCCAACTCCAAAGAGGGAAAAATCCCAATTAAAAAGAGGCAAAATTCCTATTCCAAAGAGGGAAAATTCCTATTCCAAAGAGGGAAAAATCCCAACTCCAAAGAAGCAAAAATCCCAACCCCAAGGAGGGCAAAATCCCAACTCCAACCAGTGACAAATTCCACTCCCAAAGAGGGAAAAATCCCGACTCCAAAGAAGCAAAAATCCCAACTAAAAGGAGGGAAAAATCCCAACTAAAAGGAGGCAGAAATCCCAACTCCAAAGAAGCAAAAATCCCAACTCCAAAGAGGGAAAAATCCCAACTAAAAGGAGGCAAAATTCCTATTCCAAAGAAGGAAAAATCCCAACTAAAAGGAGGTAAAAATTCCAACTCCAAAAAGGGAAAAATCCCAACTCCAACCAGTGACAAATCCCACCTCCAAAGAGGGAAAAATTCCTATTCCAAACAGGGCAAAACTCCTATTCCAAAGAGGGAAAAATCCCAACTCCAAAGAGGGAAAAATCCCAACCCCAAAGAATAAAAACCCCACCTCCAAAGAAACAAAAACCCCAACCCCAAGGCCACAAAACCCCCACTTTCACCAGCACCAAACCCCACCTCCCCACTCACCCCCCAAAAATTCCTTTTTTTTCCCCTTTTTCCCCTTTTTCCCCTTTTTTCCCCCAAAAAAACCCCCTCACCATGGGGTGCAGGGTCTCGGGGGCGCCCTTGACGGCGGCGACGAAGGCGGGCTCGGCGAGGCCGCCGCGCTCCAGCGACGCCAGCACCGCCATCCTCTTCAGGGCACTGGAGAAATGAAAGCGCTGGGGAATTTTCATCCCCGGAGTTTTTAGACCCCTTGGGAAAACTTTCTCATCTGGAAACAAAGAGACCAGGAAATCCTGAAGAGGGGGGTTGGAAATAAATTAAAATAATGGGGGAAAAAAAGGGGGTTTAGGGGAGATTTGGGTGGAATTCAGGTGGAATTCAAGATGGTTCAGGTGGAATTCAGATGGTTTGGGTGGGGTTTATGTGGAATTCAGGTGGGATTCAGGGGGATTTGGGTGGGATTCAGGAGGATTTGGGTGGGATTCAGGGGGATTTGGGTGGGATTCAGGGGATTGGGTGGGATTCAGGGGGATCTGGGTGGGATTCAGGGGGATTTGGGTGGAATTCAGGGGGATTTGGGTGGGATTCAGGTGGAATTCAAGACAATTCAGGTGGAATTCAGGGGGATTTGGGTGGGATTCAGATGGAATTCAAGATGGTTCAGGTGGAATTCAGGGGGATTTGGGTGGGATTCAGGGGGATTTGGGTGGAATTCAGGGGGATTTGGGTGGGATTCAGGGGGATTTGGGTGGGATTCAGGGGGATTTGGGTGGGATTCAGGGGGATCTGGGTGGGATTCAGGGCCCATCCTCTTCAGGGCACTGGAGAAATGAAAGCGCTGGGGAATTTTCATCCCCGGAGTTTTTAGACCCCTTGGGAAAACTTTCTCATCTGGAAACAAAGAGACCAGGAAATCCTGAAGAGGGGGGTTGGAAATAAATTAAAATAATGGGGGAAAAAAAGGGGGTTTAGGGGAGATTTGGGTGGAATTCAGGTGGAATTCAAGATGGTTCAGGTGGAATTCAGATGGTTTGGGTGGGGTTGGAATTCAGGTGGGATTCAGGTTGGGTGGGATTCAGGGATTGGTGGGATTCAGGGGTTGGGTGGGATTCAGGGGATCTGGGTGATTCAGGGGATTGGGTGGGATTCAGGGGATTGGGTGGAAT